TAGCTGGAAGACTCGGCCCGGCGCTGCTCAACAGTTCTCAAAGTCCCGGCTCGCAGCGGCGCGGCTCCGTGTGCGCCCGCGCGGCGCTCGGGCGCGGGGTCCCGGGCTGCTGCATCCCGGGCGGCCCGGGACATGCCCCGCACCCCACGCCGGACGCCTGCACCGCTCCTCCGGCTGCGACTCCTGGGGACTCTGGGACTAGGTCGACCCGCGCCCTAACTTCTGACTTTGGGGTCCCCCAGCCTTAGAGGAACGGGCGGCTCGGCTGGGGGAGCCCCGGGCATGGTGTGACGGGACGGGCGGCGTGGCTGAGCCCCTCCACTCCGGCCACGCGTGGTCCCCGCGCCCTCCGGAATGTAGCTGCTGTCCCCGCGCCCCCGGCCTCCAGCCGCAGTCTCAGCGCCCTCCGAGCTCCAGCCGCCAACTCTTTGTCCCCGGGGATCCCCCGTCTCCTTGTTCTCGGGACTGCAGCCGCCGCCGTCTCTTCGTCCTCCGGATTCCAGTTTCGCCAACCCCTCCTCCCACTGTCTTCGCACCCCGGGACTCCAGCCGTGGTCCCCGGCAGCCCCCCAACTATCCAGCTACCGCTGCTGCGCCCCCAAACCCACCCTGCAGCCGTCGTCTCTGCGCTCTGGACATCCTGGACTCCAGCCGCCCTGTCCGCGTCTTTCCTAAATCCAGACTCCAGCGGTGACCTCCGCGCCCCGGGCATCCAGCTGTCGCGCCGGCCGCAGGTGCAGCAGCCGGGCCTGGGCGGGGAGATGAACGCGCAGCTGGACGGCCTGTCGGTGAGCTCGTCCTCCATCGGCTCGCTGGGCTCAGCGGCCGCGGCGGCCGGCGGCGGGGGCGCGGGGCTGCGGCTGTTGTCTGCCAACGTGCGCCAGCTGCACCAGGCACTCACCGCGCTGCTGAGTGAGCCGGAGCGGGAGCAGTTCACGCACTGCCTCAACGCGTACCACGCGCGCCGCAACGTCTTTGACCTGGTGCGCACCTTGCGCGTCCTGCTGGACAGCCCGGTCAAGCGGCGCCTGCTGCCCATGCTGCGACTGGTCATCCCGCGCTCCGACCAGCTGCTCTTCGACCAGTACACGGCCGAGGGCCTCTACCTGCCCGCCACCACCCCCTACAGGCAGCCCGCCTGGGCCGCTCCCGACGGCGCGGAGCCCGGGGAGGTGCGGCTCGTAAGCCTGCGGCGCGCCAAAGCCCACGAGGGCTTGGGCTTCAGCATCCGCGGGGGCTCGGAGCACGGCGTGGGCATCTACGTGTCGCTAGTGGAACCCGGCTCCCTGGCTGAGAAGGAAGGACTGCGGGTCGGGGACCAGATTCTACGCGTCAATGATAAATCTCTAGCACGCGTGACCCACGCAGAGGCGGTCAAGGTAGGACTGTGGTTTGTGGGAGCGTCGAGAGGCAGTTACCAGCATGGTGGTGCAGCCGTTGAGGAGCTCTGTGCTGTGTTTCTTAGATAAATCACTTAACAGGAGCGTCTAATTTGTAGCACAAATAGGTACCAAGCGCCAAGGAAATGGTGATGCTTTGCCTTGGGTGGCCTAAAGGCTAAGGCAAGACACAGTAAGCAAAACTCTAGTTAGAAAGCGTGAAACTGGACTGTAGGTTGGTAGGAGCGTTAGTCCCTGCTTGGCACCGAGATAGTGGTGAGTAGATGGTCTGCTGTGCTCTGTTGCTGTTCTCAAAATCCTGTAGACTTCTGCCTCTGAAAGAAAGTTCTTTTCCACACCTAGTGACCTGAGGAGGCCAGGTGACCACAGAGCCTGGGCTGACCCTGCTATTTATGGGCTTGCTGGTGCATCCTAGAATAAGCCAGACCAAAGGAGTGACTCCTAACTTTGTTGAAAAGGAGGCTGAATGTCAAAAATGAATCCCCCCAACCCCACGAGTGTGCCCTTCTTGTGTCTGTTAATTGAGAGAAATAATCTCACCACAGCAGCTAGCGGGGATTTACTCCTGCTGTGTGGAGGAGTGTGTGTGTTTGCTAATCTCGTTGGTCACCCGCCCGCCCGGGGTTAGGGAAAGCCAGTAGGCGTGTGAGATTGATAGTGTTTGGCCCAGGGGTGGATTCAAGCATTTAGCCCTAGCCCTGCTGCTTCTGGCACAGGAAGTGGGAGTTTAGGGCAAAGAAATGACAGCACTCCCTGCATCTGCAGAGAAATCCTTCCCCAGGGTTTGGACTGGCCTGTGACACCCTCCCAGCCCATTCCTGTGTCTCCTGGGCCACCTTGCACAGATGGACTGAACAGGATGCACTGTCTGCTGGGAAACTCCTGGGCAGCAGAAGTCCAGGGCTATTTCCTGTGTGGTGTTCAGAGGCCTATGGTCAGGTGAGTCAAGCAGACTGCTTGGCTGTACACCTTGGACACCACCATCTGTTTCTGACCTTGGCTTTCTTCGTTTGCTTCCCCACACTTAGACCCGGTGGGGAAGGCCCCTGAGGGTTTTGGAAACTTCTTTGCAGTTTCTGGTGAAAGCTGGTGACCTTAGATTGTTCTGGGGATCATCGGGCAAAATTCTTTGTTCTGGGTTTCCCATCCTCTCCAGCTCTTCCCCTAGCATCATTTTGACCCTTTAATCTTGCATTCCATTTATTTATATAGAAACAGCCCATTAGCATTGGCCCTAAGAGGCCGGGAGTTCCCAAGATGATAAATTTATGCTCTAAACATACGTGATCCAAATGTCATTTATAAACATGGATTCAATTTTCATGGCAAGTTGGAGACTGGAGTAACTTAATCATCATGAGGTGAGAGACTTTGGAAAGTCCAACTGTCTACCTGAACATGACCAACACAGGCTTTCCCTTCAGTTTGCACCCCAGGTCCAGCTATACCATTCAGTTCCTGGCACTGTCATGAGGTCATGGTCAGGACTATATGTCTGAACCTCCTGGAGCTGCACCGCAGTGTTGCTAAGCTGTGGCTCAGGGCAGTACTCAGCTTCAGCTCCCTCTTGCTGACACCTCATCTGTCATGCATAGTTTAGGAAGCCTGAGAAGGAACATTTGCCCCAAGGTTGAGCAGGATAGAGCAGGCGCATCCTTGAAGTGTGGTGCCTGTGCCCCAGGTGCCTGTGTGAGCTGAGCTGCCCTGTGGGTCTGCTTTCCTCCGAGGTGACTGCTAAGGGACAGTGCGCTTCTGGCTTAGGGGTGCCCCTCTTCTGCCCTTGGCAGATTGTGATCTGGGGACCCTTAGGAAGCATCAGGCAAAGGAATGTTGCTTGTGTCACACGAACTCCAGGGAATGAAGAGGCTAAAATTGCAGTGGGTGAACTATAAGAGGGAGGGGACCACTGCAGGGTCCTGCCATATGTCAATGGTTTTATTTGCTTATTTATTATGTATGTGAGCATATTGCCCAAATGTGTGTAAGTGTGCCCGGGCCATGCAATGCCTGCTGGAGGTCAGAAGAGGGAGTTGGATCCTCTGGAAGTGGAGTTTCAGACGGTTGTTGGCCACCATGTGGGTGCTGGGGAATTGAACCCAGGTCCTCTGCAAGAGCACCCATTGCTTGTAACTGTTGAGCCATGTCCCCAGTCCAGCAAATGGTTTTGATAACAGTTATTCTAACTGAAGAGCTGTTGACATATTTGCACAAAATGCAGAGGGTGAAGTCCCTCCTCTGAGAGCCAGGAGGGGCCCCAGTTCTCCAGGAAGCACAAACTACCATCACTTGCGAGTTCTGAACTTGGAGCCCCTTGGTCAGCCACGTTCTCCTGGACTCTGAGAGGGTTCTTGGTTTTTCTACTTGGGTCTTGTTTCTGTCCCAAGATACCCCATTCCGTTTAGTAAAAGATGTCTTTTCAATATTAAAAGTCTTAATTTTTCTTCTATAATGAGAGAGAAAGTGAACCTCTGAACTTCTCCAGAGGAGAGACTAATTGTATGTATGCAAATATACCATAAAGAGAATTCAATTAAAATAAATTCTAAGAGTCAAAGTGCTTAGGAGTCAATGAATCAGAGGAATACAGCTCTTAAAAGATGGGATCAAGCAAACAAAGTCTGCTCTGCCTTTCTTTCTGAGAAACCTTGTATCCCTTGATACCCAGAGCAGTTTGCTGAGGACTTTATCCTGTGTCCAACAGGGTGTCCATCCCTCTCTTGAAGCCCATTTACCAAATCAGCAGTGGCAGATCCAGATAAGGCAGGCCACTATTATGTTGAAATGTTTGATTTTTGGAAAAAAGGAAGTTTATCTTGAATGAACCAGAGCCCAACTAGTAATGACAGAAAAGTATATCATTCAGAGATTTCCAGCCAAATGTACTTGTTCAATCACCTAAGGAGCCCATAGACCAGAGCTGCTACATTAGCCTCTATTACACATTTGCTGTGTGACCTTGATATCTCTGTTCTAGGCTAGATGAGTTCTGGGCTGTCCAAGGCTCCTTCCAGCTCAGTGAATCTGTGATTTGCTTGGTATGTGCTACCCAGAAGGCATGTAGAACGTCTGATCTGATGTGTTCTTGTTCTTTGGGAATTGCCTTCAATTAAGGAAAAGAGAGTTGGCTAAGGATAGGGAGAAGGGAAGCTTGGCACTTCTGAGCAACTTCATACTAAATCAGGAAATTGGTGGGTTACATACTGTGCCTAGGGGAGCCCGGCAGCAGCCGTCTCTCGACCCAAGAATGCCAGCCCTGGTGTGATTACAGAGCGAATGGGAACTACCAATAGGATTTGGGCACAGCAGTACCCACCCTGGGAGAACTGGGAAATCAAATTCAGTCACCTACTGGCTTTCTGAGTCCCTTGATAATGTAGGTAGCAGCATTTAGGATATTGAGGCGCTACTGTGCTCCGAGTGTGTGTGCACCTGTGTGTGTGTGTGTGTGTGTGTGTGTGTGTGTGTGTGTGTGTGTTTCATCTTAGTAAAAATGAAGGAGCTTCGTTACAGTGTCAGCATCCCCACAGGTAAATCTGCGCAGCGAATTAAACTCAGAGACGTTCCAGAAGTTAAGAACTGTTTGCAGGCCCTTCCAGTTAATTAGACTTATCACTTCCTCCCTTCCTTTGCATAATAACCCGGGAAAAATCTGTCCAAATTAATATAAGTCATTATATTTGGCTCAGCAGGTTCGAAATGACACATTTGTCATTTGATGTTGCCACGGTTGCTGGAGCCATTACACATTCTTACCACTGCCAGGTTCTCATCTGTAACCTGGTCTCTTCTTGCATCCGTCTTGTTGCTGGGCTCCAGTTGGGAACCATGATTATACACTGGCCTCTCTCTGCCCTGCATCCATTCTTGGGTCTTGTGAGTCCTGTCAGCCATGACCAACAGAAAGCCCTTGGTTGTTGCATATCTAGAACCCATGCAGTACCTAGAGAAGGTCCACATCTTTGATTCAGTCTTGTATATTTATTTGGCTCAAGCTGACACTGAAGGTTTTAGAAAATAATTCCTGTGTCAGGCAAAATTCTCTTCCAGATGGTTATTTGCTCTTCAGATCAAAGCAGCGTTTTGTCATGTACTGCCTTTATATTGAAGCACTGATATTCTTCTGGTAGATTCTTATCTTCTGACTTGAAGGTAGACATGAAAGAGATGGAGAATCACCCCACTGTTGGCTTTTGTTTGTCACCCCCATCTGCTGACAGGACTGTTTATGACTTGCCTCACAGTGATCATTTGAATGGAGCTGCAGAGAGAAGTGTGTTCCCTTCACCCCCAGGGTTTTGTGTATGCTGCTGCCTCCCACCTGCCCCTGCCTCCAGCCGTGCACAGGAGCACAGCTGCCTGCACCTGTCAAGGGCACGCAGCCCAGCACACGTGCGTGCACATGCCTGTCTGCTCATGCGAGTCTCCTCGGACTCTTAATCTTCCTGCCACCGTCCTGTGAAGGGCTTTGCATAGAAGGCATTTGGAGGGGATTAGGCTCCAACTGTCTTCCTAGGAAGGCTCTTTTATGGCCTTTGGTCCCCACTGCTTAGGGACATCAGACTAGTCCCAGCCAGGACTAACTAGAGAATCTTATTAGAAGAAATGCCATTAAATGGCTAGAGGGAGCTGGAGGCTGAAATACCAATCTTTCCAAGCCGATTCCTTTTTCTTTCTTTTTAAACCCCCAAGCAAGAATGTGAGATGGCGTAGAGGCTCACACAGATATCTAATTGTGCTGCAGGGTGAGGGTGCTTTTTAAAAGTTCCTGGGTTGCAACGTTCCTTTTTTCTTTCACAGCCGGGCAGGTGCAGAGTGGGAAATGTCTTCATTCTTTTTCTTGTGTTCCTGCTGTCCACTGTAGGAAGTAGCACCGGGGCCAGAGGATGTGTGCATCACTTTTCCTTTCTTTTTTCTTTTTCTTTTTTAATTTTTGAGGAGAGAGAGAGAGAGAGAGAGAGAGAGAGAGAGAGAATGTCTGT